AAGTTTTCCCAACGGCAGGACATGCCCTGGTTGCCACTCACCACCTGCACGATTGGCATAACTTTTGCGTAGTCAAGAAAATCACCGGTAATACCCTTCATCGGATCCGTGTTTTCTTTGTCTAATGATTTCTTCAATTGTAGGATCTTTTAGGAACGCAATGAAGTTAAAGCTGGTAACTAATGAAGATGATTTGATGTCACTCAAAAACAAATATGCGAACGATCCACTATTTTTTCCTATTTGGCACTCAATTGAATTCGAGTTGAACTGGTCATTTCCAAATGCGAAATTATTGCTGTATTCATATCAATCTGGTGATTCTGTTCTCCTGTTTGGGTACAAGAAGCATCGCATCACTAAGTAAGTTTTTTGTGAGCATGAGTGAGATGGTCTCCATTGAGAGCACGGTCAACAGGCAGTTCGATTCGAGGGCACTATCGTTGGCACACCTCCAAAGGCTCTGATCCAGTGATAGGAACCTAAATGGTTTACCCTACGCTCTGAGAATCTACCATTTCACCTAGAAACTATAGTTGTCATGCAGAAGTTTTCAAGCTCATTTTTGGTTTTCCGTCAGGGACGCGATCCTGCTGTATCGTTGTGGCCAAATCGAAGAAGAGGAATTCAACGAGGCCCTTGCTGAACTGAACGAATTGCAACCACTACCCAGCAGTTGCTTTTTCATGGGCGAAGAGCGTCTGACAGAGATGGTAAGTTGTTATCGTTGACTGGAGGGGAGGTATGAATACAGAAAACATCAGTACTTGCTATCTCTCACTTATTCCCATTTCAAAAGCAGTTCGTACTTCAGGCTAGGAGCCGAGTTGGCGGTCCATCTCCTCCTTCTCTCCGCCTATCGGCGGCGCCAAAACCTTTTTTGTGGATACTGGTCCGGAGGCGTGTACCCGCCCGCTCCTCGATTCAACCAGACTTCGAGCTGAATCGTACGACCGAAAAACACCCAGAGTTTTTCTAAGGTGTTTTTTATGATGACAAGCTGTTCGCGCTCCAAAAGGCCATCACGAAGAATGTTGAGTTTGGCACAAGTAGTGTTCCCAGGCGGGAGTTGAACGCACTGTCCGCGGGTTTCCGCCGGCGACCGTGCGCTATCCGTTACCACCAGGCCCGCTTTTACCCTGCTCGCTCACACGGCTTTGTATGCCCTAGCCTGTCAGACTTTTGCCGCACTACTCAAGCATTTCTTGTGAGTGACTACCCAGAGTCAAGGAATAGCTCTGGCGCTTCTAGCGCTCTGAAACAACAAGGAGTAGAAGGATGAGGACTTCACCGTTGATCGATCTCTCTTTGAGCGGCACCATTCTACTTCCATTCAAAATGGTAAAGACTCATTGAATGCTACGTGATCCAAGGAATGGGGAGAACCAGCCAATGTACGAATCAGTGTCTTACCCTCCTGAACGAATCTGGCATCAGTTTTCAAAAGGCTTCGGGCTTTGTAAGGGGGAGCCTTTCTGGGACTACGTCCCTTTACAGCGGGCGTGTAATAAGCGTACATCTTTTGCCACGCACCACGTTCTGCCTGCAGCGCCCTGGAAAAACCGGCTGGCCTCCCAGCAGGGCTTACCTAACCGTCCTCTCTCTCTCTTTGTAAGTAGACAGTAAAGATTGAAAGGTAGTTGTTTGTTTTATTCAAGGACCCGGATATTACTTTCAATGTAACTGTTACTAAACTTTGTTAATGTAACTCTTTTGAAGGTATCTGCCTACTTCACGGCGCAGTCGTACATTGTGCGCCCGTACCCAACCAAAACGTTTTATATGACCCCTGAGCAGATGGAGACGGTGCAGAATCTTCCTCCACCGGATCTGCCTAATGGATACGAGATAGGTTTGTAGTTTATTGCTCATCCTACTGTATGGATATGGTAGTAGTGAAACGGCGACGTCTGGTCTGTTTGTCTGCTTGTTCTGTCTCTCCGGAAATTCTGAATCACCTGAAGAACGAAATTGGAGGGGCGGGTCAGGGTTGGTAAGGGCATGGGCAAGATGTAACGCGAACCACGATGAACTGAGCTGAGCCCCGGCCACTGTGGGCGGCGGTATGTGGCCGCCATGCGAGTTGTGAGCTACATATTCAAAAATTCGTAGTTCGGTTCTAGAAGATCCCGGAGAGCGGAAATTGTGGGAAACGATAAGCAGTCAGTTGGCGGATGAAATGAGGGAGTCACACCCGTGATGGGCGAGGCGTGCTATAGGTGGGCGGTGCTCGCTACAGAGAACTTTCCAGAAAATGTCGTTAATTCTTTTTTTTTCTAGAAGATGCCCGGAGACGGCGGAAGGAAATTGTGGGAAACGATAGGCAAACAGTTGGCGGACGGAATGAATGAAGCACACCCGCGATGGGCAGGGCGTTCGCCGAAGTGAACGGTGCCGGGGACAAAAACCCTCAAAACACATCCGAAAAACTCCAGGAAATGGGGAGTAAGTGAAACTGAGCAATGGTTGGGCAGATGAAGTTAGTGAGATAACCTAGGGAGTGGACGCAAATGGTATGCGTATTTATTCTGCCGGCTCCTCCTCAGTGACGGGAGTCCCAGTATAGACAACACTTCGATGACTGTCTTCTACATAGGGGGGGAAGACCCCGGAAGGAGGATTCCGACTGGTTCCCTCACCACAGGAGCACCTCCCGACTCTCTTCTCTACAGTGCACGTCTCTGCTTCTTTTCGTCTTGACTCTTGTCCGGGCTCTCGCAGATGCCCTTAGATATGGACATTCAGTCATTTCATTCAACCTTTTGTGAGCCCGTGCTAAGTATTGCGTCGAAGTGGGCGGTAACTGGCAGTAGCATCGAATCCTAGAACGATCTAGAACAACAAGCCTCGAGCGAATTTTCAATACTTCTACCACTGAATGGTCCATATCGCGGAGATAGGGGGCTTGTCTAAGACTCAGGTTGTGAGTTTAGCGGTAGACAGTTGAATTGAAATTTTCCAGGCTCTGCTGATCCAGAATGTGATGCCGAAGTGGTCACTAAAACATGGATTCACGCCGGTCCGAACGAGGAGGAACAAACAAGGTCAGGACGGTTTTTACAATGGCTTGGCGTCTACCGCGTGCCTGAATCAATTATTTTCAGAGCTAAACTCAAGCATTTCCCATCCAGCTGCGTTCGCTACGATGGCAAAGCTGTGGGCTTCGAGATGATTGATCCGATAGGTGTTCTCAACCACTTGTTCGTATTGGAGCCACATCGCAATAAGGGATTGGGCAATATAATTGAGCTGGATTTAGCGCGGAAGATGATTAGGTAATTTTCACACGAGAGGTTTCTAAAAAAATGTTGCAGGAAAAGGATGTTCAGAAAGGGGAAACCGGCACTGTTTGGTCTGGGGGGGGGGCATTTTGCACCAACGCTAGTTATTTTTGCTGGTTTGGGCTTACCAACAGGTTCACTTTCGTAAAACCTGTGAACTCTTGTAAATTTACGAAATAGTACAAGAGAGTCATCCTAGTAATAGAGACTTACAGGTGTTCACAAATAGACCTGTACAGCTCCGATGAGTACCATAAGGTGTTCTTACTTGGCCGGACTGCCCCGGGAAAACCTTTTAGAAGGTGCACGATGACATCCATGTTGCGGCGACGCGGCGCAGGCGGCTCTGCAAACGCGTCACATGCGCGACATGCGCACCAAGGCTTTTTTAATTTAGCGTGCGAGTGCTTTCGGGTTTAGTAGATAGGAAACGCAGGCTAGCTGTTACGCGTAGCTGCAATGTGGATCTCTCGACCGTATCCGTGAGCCTGTAGCGAATTGTACCTGTCTTTAACATAACTTTAAATATCTTGTTTTACATTAAACTGTCCCGTGCATTTGCAGAAAAGGTCTCAAAGTCTCCAAATGTGTCGAGCTGTACAACACCGCCGTCCTATCAGGGAGCGCTCGATCTCCATACTGGACGACGGCGACGGATGTCAACGGCGAAGATATTATTTATGTATTTTTGGCGGTCACAAAGGAATAAATTGTACATAAAGTCTCTGGCAATCTGCAGTTCCTACAGAAGTTCAGGCTCAGGCTCATGCTTCATTGAGAGTTCTGCGAAAATCTTCGAGAGTAATTTTTTGCTTCAATGCCACAGGCTTTCCTCACTGGATTGATCAGTGTTTTCGTAATTATACTTCCTTATTTCTTCATTTTTCCTCGAGAGTGCTTCTAGGTTTTGTACATCTGCAGCCTTTGTTCCAAAGATGTACTGCACATTTACCTGCGTAGATCTGATCTTTGCCATGTGTGATGTGAACGGGCCTCACAGCTGCAGTGGCGTGCCGTTTTCTCCGCTCAAAAGTGCACAGAAAGAGGTGGTAGAGTAGCTTGAGGCAGGATCCTGGCGTAGATTAGGGATCTCAGCAAATGGGCCGTATTCTGATCGCTGGAGGGAGTGGGGGTCGTACCAGAGAAGGAAATTCTGGAAAGGGAGTCGCATTTTGGCAAAGTTTACCCCGACGGCAAGACGTGCCATTCTACAGATGCCCGAGTGCCACCATACTCCGCCCGCGCTGATGCAGGCCATCCACACGCCTAACCGTAGCCAAACGCGCTTCTTGTCTGTGCCCTCTCTTTTCTAGTTGTTCTCCACAGCCGAGTGCTTGTTTTGGTGCGCGATCTCGGCAGTGACGCAAGTTCTGCACCTTGAGGATAGCACAGGCGAAGTATGGAGACGGCACCTCGATACTACTACTCCACTGCCTCATTCCAGTGCACTTTGGAGAGCAGTAAGTGGCACGTTACTGCAGCTGCGGACCCATTTGCCTCTTGTATGACAAGGACCGACCGTTATTTTATAAGCATGCCATGTTGTCAGAGATGCAATTAATATACACCTCATTTGTACTGTGGCAGAAAAATCATCCCATTTTTCGAATTCACTGACTGTGCTATGAAAAGAAGAAAATGTGACAGATTCAAGGCAAAAAGATCTCGTCCTGCCAACGTTCCGGAACTGGCATATCGGTTTTTGCGTCCGTGGAGAACTACGACCTCCGAAAAAGTCATTTGGTTAGGGGTTCTGAACGTAAGGTGCTGATGAGAGTGTGATATTGCGAGAGTTTGTTTCATTTTTTCCACAAGTAGGATACTGGTGACAAGAGCAAGAATATCATGATGGTTACGAGTAAATCGCAGTTTTCAAGCGCTGAAACTGAGCAGACAACTTCCGAGGTCAAAGTTTACTGTCGAGT